TTTTTTGTGGTTGTTGAGGTCCTTAGTGGTTCAGCCCTAAAGATATTTGGTTGTTTTGATTTTAAGGACACTTTTGCACGCCTGACTATGTTTGCTGAAACCAAACCAGCTGAGAATCACAGACAGACTTAAAAAGAGCCGGCACAGGATTTTTAAAAATCTTTATAAACACCACTATCATTCAGAACATGGCGTCAATGCCGCGGGTCTCAGTCATGCATCCGGATTACTTTACATTTGCTCTTCATCCTACACACATTCCTACCGAGGAGCGCTGAACTGCCCAAACCTGTGCTCGACACAGTCACACCCGCATCAGAGACGCCAAACAACTGATAGACGGTCAATAGCCTGTGCCAGCAGCTCTGAAAGAGCTAATTGTGCTCCGCCTCAAACTCCAGCAATTAGGAAACGACATATCGGGGCACGGCAGGCTCACGTTATGATCCTGAATATGCTAACCCAGGAAACATGAACTTTGGAGTTATTTCTGCATTACAGCTGGGAAAGCCATTGCCGTAATGCTATTTGCAAGGTTTTAGAAAGGCACCAGGATTCGCAGTGCTGAGAAAGGACAGTTTATAGATATATAATATACATCTTCATGCTGAATGCTGGAAGTGGAAATAAATTACAGTCTTTAATTTGAGCTAATTTGCTGTAAAACAAGTCCGTATAAAAGAGGAGTCTCGTTTGACGGGTGACCACCATAAGCACTGAACTGAAAAGGGAAACACACTTTTGAAGGTATTCATATTTGGAAGTATCTTTCATCAGCGTCTGGGGACAGACAGTGAACAAAATGCCACAAGACATGTAACAGACATTATCGGTCACCCTTCAAATGACAATGCGGGTTGACGCAGGATTGTAAAGCTGTCGCCAGCTTGCATACCAGATACGCTGGAAAGTACTGTGCTTTCTAGTACAATGTGCTCAGCGCCACGAGACAGGCAGCACTTGAGAAGATTTTGAAATATAATAGGCCTATCACCTCGGCCTATCGTTATCGCCTGCCAAAGACCAGTGAACACATCAGAGCAATGCGCAAAAACCTTCCAACAAAGTACGTTGTAATCGATTCCTGTTAGTTTTAAAGGAGTAGTTCACCCAAAAATGGATGCTCTGCAGTGAATGGGTGCCGTCAGAATGAGAGTCCAAACAGCTGATAAAAACACCACAATAATCCACAAGTAATCCACAGCACTCCAGTCCATCAGTTAACATCTGGAGAAGACAAAAGCTGTGTGTCTGTAAGAAACAAATCTACTGTATCTTTAAGAAGTTTTTAACTTCAATCCATTGCTTCCAGCTAAAATATGAGTACATAATCTATAATAACGACTGAAAAGGTCCATCTCCTGTTGTCTAAAATCCAGCCACATATTTGTTTAGAGCTGTTTAAACGCTGCTTGATCTGTGCAGATTTCTCTCCTGATTCACACCAGAACACTTTTCACTGGAGCAAGCGTTATTATGGACTCGTATTTGTACTCGTACTAGTCTTAATGCTGGATTTGTTTCAGCTTTTGTCTTCTCCAGATGTTAACTGATGGACTGGAGTGCTGTGGATTACTTGTGGATTATTGTGATGTTTTTATCAGCTGTTTGGACTCTCATTCTGACGGCACCCATTCACTGCAGAGCATCTATTGCTGAGACACTGATGCAATGCTACATTTCCCCAAACCTGATGAAGAAACACACTCATCCTAATCTCGGATGGCCTGAAGGCGAGTAACATTTTCAGCTAATTTTAATTTTTGTGTGAACTATTCCTTTAATTATTCCCCTAATACAAGCCTTTGGATTTGAGCCACCCCAGTTTTCGGATTCAACAGGAAAGCGGTCTATAATGCACAGGGTCTTCACAAAACCAAGACGAGGAGCTCCACGTTTAGTCCACTTTCACAGCATCTCTTTTACAGACAACCACAAAGCCAAATCAAGAACCATTGTGAAAACCCACCGCTGATGGTTTTCCTTACTTTAGAACATCGCATACTTTGAATACTAGAATTCCTTGCTGTTACAAGACTCAATGCAATGCAAGAATTGCACAAATTAACAGCGAGCGCTCTCTTTTTTTGTTGTTGTAAGGTCAGCACAGAAAGGAAAACAGACCTTGGCCATTTGACACCTCCACAGATGTCTCTCTCTCTGCAGGTGCAGGTTAGGATCCTCGCTGGAAGGGTTTAAAGGTCAAAAACTAGCGCAACCATTAATGCGACATTCTCAAACTGCGTCCTTATTCGACTACCTTGAATGCCGTTTCTAAGCAGACATGCTAATCACGATGAGGATGAAGATATGAAGCAGAATCAGGCATGCGATCATTGCGTCAGTGTTTCTGTGAATTCTATACAGTCTGAACATGTTTTAAAGGCGTGTAGAGTTGCATCTATCCAGGAAGCAGACATCAGCACCGTGACAGAGCTCAACCGCTTTCATTAATAGCTCCGCCAGACCATGCGACTTTTTGGCAACAATTCGTTTGACAAACACCGGTACGCAAATTTGACTTCAAGTTAGTCACCAATCAGGTTTAATGTCAGGAACAGGGAGAGTGGAGATCAGTCACTAGATACAAATTTGTCAATACTACAGTAATTTATAGTAAACACTATAGTATACTATAGTAAAGTACTTGAATTTATTTGTTGTAGTAATTCTATAGCTGCTGTGGTAATATAACAACTATAGTAATATAAAAAAAATAAAATACTTTACCCAATACTGTACTAAGTTTTCTACAACTACAGGGTATATTATACTACAATACACTACAGTTCACTGTAGTAAAAACTAGTGCTGTCAAACGATTAATCGCGATTAATCACATCCAAAATGAAAGTTTTGCTTGCATAATATATGTGTGTGTGTGTACTGTGTATATTTATTATGTATACATAAATACACACACATGCATGTATATATTTCAGAAAAATATATATTTATTTATAATACAAATTATATGAATATAAATATAGACGTAAATATTTTCAAAATATATACTGTATGTGTGTGTATTTATATATATATATATATATACAGAATACACACATAGGCCTATATTATGCAAACAAAAAATTGTTGTATGCGATTAATCGCGATTAATCGTTTGACAGCACTAGTAAAAACTAAAGTATACTACAGTATGTATTACAGTTTATCAGTTCACTATAGTTAATACTACAGTATGATGTAGCATTCATTAACAAAGTGTTGTAAATACTGTAAAATATACTGTATAGTACACTTTACTATAGCATGATTCAAAAACATTATAGTATTTACTATAAATTACTATAGTATTTTTTCATGTGGGTTGGTGCAAATAATTCCGATGGATCATCATTAAGATATAATTATTAACAGGGATAAATCTAACTACAACTGCTGGATATCAACAATTTAAAATGCATTTTGTATTCGCTACTAATAACCAAAAAAAAAAAAAATGTATCTAGTATCTACTGAATAGTTCTAAGTGGAATTTAAAAGGATTCTAGACTATTGAAATATCTGCTAGTAATTACAATTACAACGATACTTTATATAACGGATGCAAGTTTTAAAGAATACAATGTTAAAACGGACTGCCTAAATCATAGCCTAGATGATGATGATGATGATGATGATGATGATGATGGCACGCGATCAGTTTAAATGCGCTTGCACCGGTGACAGTATTGCGTCACAGTTACTGTAAATGCTACATAGATTGCATGTAAAAGCACTACAGACCGTGGATGCATGTGTATTTCTATACATCCAGCGCTTGATGAGGAGCTCGGTCGCTGCGTGTCATTTTTGGCGACAATTTGCACAACAAATCTGACGATCTTGGAAACATACTCACCCCATTAACCACTCCATGATGACTGAAAGGGACAAATCCAAGCAGAGCTGCTCCTGTCCCCCGTCGTTTTATCCCGGTAGCTAACAGAGTCTGGATCGGCTCTCGGTTGTGTTTAATCTCCGGTTCTCGTGTTTGGCGAACGCAAGCGCGTTAATGACCGGCGCATGAGAGGTGGATGCGCTCCTGCGCTCCGATCGAGGACCGCATTGACTTTGACGCTTGGCGAAGGGTGGCAGAAGGATACTTTCTGTGTTGAAGGGTCGTCTGAAGCTGCGCTCACTAATCTCCCCGCTGCTGCTGCGCCGGAGTATGGCGGCTCTCCGGTCACCGAAGCATCGCGCTCCACCGGAGACGGTCTCTGGTCGGATCGGGCCGCGGGGCTCTCGCTGAGCTTGTAGGGCAAGTGGAGAGGCTGTTTGCAAGCTCTGCCATATACAGGAAATCCGGAAGTAAACACAGGTTCGACGCCGACGCCGACCCCGACCCCCCTCTCTCCAGGGATGTGGTCGGTTCACCGAGGCATGCTGGGATATGTAGTTTTCCGTCAAAGCTGAAGACTACACGCAGACGTGACGTAGTGCGTGCTGCGCAAGACGCTCTCTGACTGCTACACTAAAGTGCTCTGGGTTGACTTTTCCAATTTTGTTAAAAAATATATTTAGTATATATATATTATGTCCAAACTTCTGTATAACCCCCCAAAAATGTTTTTTTTTTAATCTAGACCCTTCTCATTTTAAATTTAGTATTAATGTATTGCTATTTCTTGCCAAAATTTTACATTTACATTTAGTCATTTAGCAGACGCTTTTATCCAAAGCGACTTACAAACGAGGACAACAGAAGCAATCAAAACCAACAAAAGTGCTATAACACGTCTCAGTTAGCCGAACACAGTGCATTCATAAATGTACATTTTCAAAGAAAACTCCTTCCTTTTTTGTTTTCAGGAAAGATGTTGATGTGTGTATAAACTCTTTTAGAAACTCTAATAATTGTATTGCATGTAAGACTCTTATAAGCTAACATAGTATGCTTTGGATTAATGCATGCAACCCTCTTTGTCTTTTGTTCTTATTCTGTATTTGTATTTGTGCATAATAATAATAATTAATAAAAACTCGTACTGCTACACTTGGTCTGATGTTAAGAAATGCAAAGAAGATAAAAGATGTTATTTGCGCTTATTCACACAAAAGTAAAACGATTGAGTCTGTTGTTAACTTTTACATTTTGCAAGGTAAATATTATATTCATAAACATAAATTTGCGAAATGCATACCAAAGTGTAATTTATTTTTTTATTAGAAATGGAAGCTCTGGTGTCTCTTAATAACAAAAAGATTGACATACTGTTAGATTTCATGAGATTTTTATTTTTCTGTAAAAAGTATAGTTCCCCCGCTGTAATCCTTGATCGTGTCCAAAGGAAAAAGGAAGAAAATTTGAACGATTGTCTATTTTGTTTATATGTATTTTTTTATTTTTTTATTATTGTTTTATAATATATATATTTTTTCCTTCTCCTCTTAAACATTGTTCTACAGTTTAAGATAGCTCTTATTCTATCTTGTTGTGTATCTGGATTTACTTGTTAACATTTTATTGTAATGTTCAATAATTTTTCATTAATACGAAAATAAAAATAAAAACACAGTCGAGCCGACTGCTGCTAATAGTAATAGTACTGCTACACTAAAGTAACAAAGACCTGGAATTCGTTGTTAACCTTTTTATTTTAATGACAACCTTTTATAAACACAAATGTGTAAATTCATCTCCTGTGATTAAATATGTTTTCTACTGAATCTGACTGATGTGTGTCTGTTCTAAGGCTGTTAAAAAATAAAAAGGCCTGTATAAAATATTATAGCAAAATGTTCAATTCCCCTGCTACATTGTAATCTCAATAGGCCTATATGTTTAACATTACATTGTGCTATGCTTTGTTTGGTTTTATATGTTAATAAAAATAACAACAACAACAACTAATAATAACAATAATAATTGTTGGTCACTGTGCTGTTTCTAGGTTCAAATGACACAAACTGCTTAATATATTATAATAACATTGATATATTATAATTAGTGCTGTCAAGCGATTAATCGCATTCAAAATAAAAGTTTTTGTTTGCATAATATATTAGTGTGAACTGTGTATATTTATTATGTATATATATAAATACAAACACATGCATGTATATATTTAAGAAAAATATGGTATGTTTATATATTAAAAATATTTATTTAGAATATAAAATATAATAATATAAATATATAAATGTATATACATGTAAGTATTTTCAAAATATATACTGAATGTGTGTGTATTTATATATACATAATACATATACACAGTACACACTCATATATTATGTAAACAAAAACTTTTATTTTGGATGCGATTAATCGCGATTAATCATTTGGCAGCACTAATTATAATTATATTATAATTCAAATGAATGCCGAGTTGACACCCTCATGTAAGTTAACTCTCAGAACCCTCTGCATAACTTCATTTCTTTCCTGTTATTAATGAACACGTTTAAGTGCTTGAGATTGACAAGAACATATTTTTTTTTAAAGTGTGGCATTTTAATACTTCTTTTAAAAAGTTTAACTCATTTTAAAATGACAGAATTCAAAATGTAACAAACTGAACAACGCGAATGATTGTTAAGTGTTTCTGTGCTTTACTGAGTATGTACTGCTATTAAAAAAAAGAAGTTTATTTGAAAAAAATAATAAAGTAACACTTGTGTCACAGTAAGATGTAAGTAATGCTGTTTCTGTTCAATATTTGATCAAATCCACCAGAGGGCGACATCTGTCATCAAAAGAAACTCGTGCTCTGCTTCTTCAGTGTACACTTGAGTGTTTGTCTCCTGCTTTCTTTCTTTTATTTATTTTTTTGTTCAGTTGCCTCACTGTTGGTTGTGATTGTGAATGCAACACAATATTTAAGACTTAAAACTAAAGTTTGTATACACATTCTGAAAACTGAGTCATTAATATTTTTGGTCTTTTTTTTGGTCGACATTTAGATGACTAGAATATAGACCACATCAGAGCTTCTCTACAGACATGGACTAAAAGCCACAAAACAGCCATGACTCCACTATATTTCTCCATCACACTCGTCTGTTTGACCTCCCTCGCTCCTTCAGGATTCGAGACACTGCGTGACTGTGGACAGAACTGTGCAGATCTCTTCCTGGAGTCTGATGACTCGTGGTGCCAGATCGGTGCAGGGCTGAATATAACACCTCCGGGGCAGACAAGGTCGCTCCAGCAGCCGCCGGACTTCAGATCGATGGAGAAACATCTGAGCCAGCAGCCTCACAAACACTCACACACGCTGCATTTAGGCCCAGAACCTGATTCTTTATTATTTCTGTTTAATGAACGTCACATCAAAATTAGTTTATTATTTTTTCCATGCATTACATATACTGTAAACATAGATTGTTGTACCCTTGTCACAGATACAGATTTTCAATCTTTCCAAAAATTATGAAAAGCCATTATAAAATTGTAGCTATAAACTAATGCAATATTTATTTTGTGAAATGTTAATATGATAATATAAACAGTTTTGAACAAAAGGCCAGACTATTTTCTCTTTGGTAAATAATAATATAATAATATTTTATTTTATTTTATTTTTATTTTTTATTTTTTATTATTTATTTTTTTTTATATATTTTTTTTCCATCACAGATTGATACTAAACACAATAAATTACTTGAGATGTGCTGAAAATTGAATTGTTGGACCAAAAAGATCTAACAACAACAAACTAAACATGACTGATAAATGACAAATGAAACTAGAAAAAGCACCAGTTGATGACATTCTATACAAACTGAATGAAAAGCCAAAATACATCTCACAACTCAGTATGGCCCTTACTGTCAATATAAGCAAACTGGTCTGACATTTATGTAGATCAGTTCCATTGTATGACCTATTAAAACTCTTTGTTTCAGTAAGCAGGTTGAGGACGGTCCAGTTAAAGCTGATATCTGATATCTGACCGCATGCTGACCACTGCTCTCTTCTGCGGAAGCTGCGAGCTGCGACACTATTATTTATTCATAAAGAGTGGTTGTTGTGCAGGGGGCCATTAAAGGACATGAGACTTGAGAGAGCATTGCATTACCTGCTCATTTATTATGAATGGAACAAAGGACGATCACTCTTTGCTGTAACTGCAAAAATAGATGCACTTTAGAAAGTGTTAAAGCGCTGTTGTGAACGGTTTGAGACGCAGTCTGAATCTGAAAGTGGGAGCAAAACATCGCTAGGCTACCCGATATTATTTACTTTCTTTATGCATGTTTCGGGTATTATTGGGCATGATTTATTTACCTACATTATATATATATACACACACACACACACACACACACACATATATATATATACATATAAATGATAGATAGATAGATAGATAGATAGATAGATAGATAGATAAAGCAAAACAAACAATCCAATAAATAATTAAATCTCAAAAATATTTTGAATTAGGTTTTATGTTTTTTTTAAATATTTTATTTTTATTTTATTTGATAATATACAATTTTGGTCATTTTGTGTTTTTGTTGTTTTTATTATTATTATTTTTATATAAAACAATAATTTGTTTTTCTTTTTTTTTCATTACCAAAAAATATGTCCATGTAGTTTTAGTTTCTTATTTTAGTTTATTTAGTTTTAGTTATTTTAGTGCCTAATACAGTATATACTTAATACTGAATGAAATATAATTAAGCTGAAATATGATAAAAAATATAATAAACAAATATAAATTATGCATAATTTTTTACAACTGAGATATATGTTACATTTTAATTTATATTATAATTGAATTTTAGTTAAAGTTTTAGTAATGTTGCTGTCTGTTTTGTCATTTTTATAATTTTTTTTCCTTTTTTAAATTAAAATATGTCTGTGTAGGTTTAGTTTTTGGTTTTAGTTTATTTAGTTTTAGTTATTTAAGCGCTTAATATGAACATAATATGAAAAAAAAACATTTAAATAAAAATAAAAAACATTGTTTATTTACCTATTTCAGTTAAAGTTTATTTTATTTTACCTCAAGATAAGAATAAAAAAAAATGTTATGGTTGTGGTTTCAGTTTTAATTAACGATAATAACCCTGAACTGAGCCAAATCATGTTCACATCCGGAGCTTCATGGGCCATCAAACGACCAGCCATCAGCTCTTTAATCTCAATTTATTCTGACATTTAAACCAATTTGCTTCGAATGAAGTATTTATTCATTTATCATAATTACCTTGGCCTGCCACGGTGAAAGTAGTTCACTGCGTGCTGCTTATGTAAGTCCAGAGGAGGAGCGAGAGAGAAAAGTGGGACGAGAAGTCTTCTTTATTTTGAAAGCAGCATTAGTCACTTGCTCTAGAGATCATGGTGTTATGGTTGTGGTTTCAGTTTTAATTAACGATAATAACCCTGAACTGAGCCAAATCATGTTCACATCCGGAGCTTCATGGGCCATCAAACGACCAGCCATCAGCTCTTTAATCTCAATTTATTCTGACATTTAAACCAATTTGCTTCGAATGAAGTATTTATTCATTTATCATAATTACCTTGGCCTGCATTTGTTGAGAGAAAGTAGTTCACTGCGTGCTGCTTATGTAAGTCCAGAGGAGGAGCGAGAGAGAAAAGTGGGACGAGAAGTCTTCTTTATTTTGAAAGCAGCATTAGTCACTTGCTCTAGAGATCATGGAAAGGGGAACATGTCCTGATGACGTCATCATTCTTTAACAGTTTCCATACAGAGGGTTTGGATCTGGACGCCAGAGCTCCACATTACAGTGTCACATCTGGATATAATCAAACGTTCTCTTTATCGGTTGTTCACACGCTCTCTCACGCACAGGCCTGCGAACACATTGTCCATTTGCTCATTCGAGGTGAGATCAGCTGCTGTATTTTTGTATTTTACTCATACATAAAAATGTAAACTCATATCAGTAACCTATTATTGCACGTGGAGCCGGTCTCCTCTAATGAAAGACGCTGTGTTGAGATCACATGACGTGCTCAATATTACTCACTTTATGTATTTTATAGGAAACCCCTGACATAATTTTGCTCATGGAATAAATGAATCATGGAGTGTGTCCACAATTGCACAGTAATCCACACTGAATCCACACCACTAGGTGTCAGTATTTCAGTGCGAGGTGACACCAAACCCCTTCCTTATTTGCTGAAATTGATTTGAATAAAATGTGAATTATAAATATGTTATGTGCATGTAGATCCGTGTTAAGGAGTAGCTAGCACAAAGTAGTGATTCTACTCAATTAATTTTTTTTTTTTTCCCCCGGTAGTGTGATGGCAGTTACATTACTTTTTTTTTTTCTGTTGTTGCTGAGGCTCTTTCATATTAAACAGTTAAAAAAAAAAAATTCTGATTTATCAGTGTCTCAGCAATGGATGCTCTGCAGTGAATGGGTGCCGTCAGAATGAGAGTCCAAACAGCTGATAAAAACATCACAATAATCCACAAGTAATCCACAGCACTCCAGTCCATTAACATCTGTCTGGAGAAGACAAAAGCTGAAACAAATCCATCATTAAGGCATTTTAACTTCAAACCATTGCTTCAGGCCAAAATATGAGTCCATAATCCATAATAACGCTACAATCTCCTGTTGTCTCTCATCAAAATACACCAAAATCCTGTTTTGGCTCGTAAACAATCTGTGCATATCTGTGCATATTTCTCTCCTGATTCAGACCAGACCACTTTTTCACTGGAGGAAATTATGGATTATGGATTTGTATTTTAGCCGGAACTAACCCTAACTCCTGAATGTTTTTTTTGTTTTGTTTGTTTTGTCATCTTCTCCAGATGTTAACTGATGGACTGGAGTGGTGTGGATTACTTGTGGATTATTGTGATGTTTTTATCAGCTGTTTGGACTCTCATTCTGACGGCACCCATTCACTGCAGAGCATCCATTGCTGAGACACGGATGCAATGCTACATTTCTACAAATCTGATGAAGAAACATACGTATCTATTCCTTTAAAATGCATATACAAACTGATGCATATATTAAAAAATAATAAGAATTATATAGACACAACATGAGCATTTATAAAAGCAAATAAGTGTTTTGGCAGTCTCTGCATTAGTCAGTATGTCTTTGCCAAATAAAGCCAGAGGAAGATACTCTACTTGGGTGAGTTATATTTCTCATACGCTCATCATTTTGTCCTTCTCCTAATTACACTCAAACAAGGAATCTGGCATGCAAAAGACAATTAGGGCTCATAGATTTTAAACCACTCAGTCAGTCAAGTACAGTTGTAAATTTAAGCGTATATTGTGTGTGTGTTTGTGGCTTCAGTAAGGTGCAGATCATTAGAGAGTGAATGGTCGCCTTCATTAGTGCTGAGCTGTCTGAAATGTATTTGCTGTAACAGATGTGAAACACACACACACACACACCTATACCTACTTAACCCCCCAATGAGGACCTATGACTGAACACCCTACCTTTGGGTACACCCCTTTCTGAAGGGTCTAGAGACAAAAGAAAGATATTACTGCACTACAGATGAAGCCTTCAGTACAAATATCACTTGATATTTTCAATTAAAACCTTATTTACAGACCTGACATTTTGCCTTCATTTTGGGGACAGTATTTTTTATGACACACACACACACACACACACACACACACACATACACACACACACACACACACACACACACACTTACATGGACTCCTACAGAAACATGGCCTAAATTAGATCCTGACCATATAGAATACAGAACACAAATCTTGGCCTGTCAAGAGGCTTAATGGAAAGTCTATAACAAAGCATCACAAATCTGTCTCCTCCAAGCAACACCTACCACACCAGACTCTAACACTTACTAATGAACGTCACTTATACACAATTAGATTTAGATGTTGATTGCAACCCTAATATTTGGAAATTAACCTAAGCTCTGTAGTCTGTTGTAGGGTATTCTTGTCTCAGTCTGCTAATTGGTTTGATATTCAGCATTAGTGTAGAGGCAGTTTAATAAATGGGATATGTTATTTTTATATATATATATATTTTGTATGCATCATATTCACATATAGTATGTGTCGTAAATTGTATATATATGTGTGTGTGTGTGTGTCCATTTTTTTTTTTTACATTATAAAAACTTTTTTCTTGGTTTTGTCAACATATAGGCAACATTCAGTTTTATCTGTTTGCACACGTTACGTTTAAATGTTCTCTGAACATTCTGAAGCAAGTACTAACTTTTTAAAAATGTCTAAACATTTTGGAGAACATTAAAGACCAAATAACGTTGAATGAATGTTCTATTAACGTTACTGGAGGAATGTTTCTTCATAACTTTAAGAGAACCTTGTCAGAACGTTCTGATAATGTTTCCTGTTAGCTGGATCTCTATATATATTACCTTCAGGACAACATTTAAAATCTGAGAAAACCTCCAATTTTTTACACACTGTTAGCTGTTAAATGTCCTCATTTGTTAATTTTTTTTAAAATTTTTTTAATAATAATTATTTTAATATTGTAAAAGTTTAACTTGTTAGAGATTAAATGTACGTTTTATAGTATTTATAATTAGCTATATTTAAAAGCAATAGAAGTTTACGGTTTGTCTCCATTTAGATAACACATACAAGTAAAGTGTGTAGGTGTATTGTAGTTAACAGCCATTATAAATGTGTGTGTTTGTGTTGTATTTGCACCAGAGACTCAGACAAAGACCAAAATGTTTTCAAATAATATATTATTGCTCATTGCCAGAATGAAACCAATACAATAAATTAAAGCAAAAATGCATGCAACTTTAAATAGACCATTTAAGTTGAAGTACATTTATTTTACATATACATGTAAATATGTCTAGATTTACAGCTTAGTACATAGTGCTGCTGGATGCAGCTTGTCTATTTGTAGGTAGCCAGCCATTCTGAGCATGCTCAGTGCACAGTAGTAGGTCTGAGAGTGTCTCAGCTTTAACATACACTTCATATCTTCACTCTTTTATTACACTGTTGATAAACTATATAACACTGAATAGTGACATTACTGAATGCAACTGCCCTTATTTACTCAATTTATAGCTAAATAGAACATTGGGCAATGACAGAAAAATAAACGTCGCACAGCAATTACATCTTCTCAAAGTTGGGCATACATACAGTTCCCTCTCAGAAGTCACCGTTAAGTGCGACTGCCCTAATCTGCATCAAAACCAGCATAAACACACACATACACACACTCGTTTCATTCTTTCATGTTTAGTGTCTTTGTATAGTCATGCTAGAAGGATATCCTCCGTCGTGCTCCTTCATTTTGAGTGTACTATAAGATGGCATGCCAGAAAAAGGTCACTCTCTGAGGTCTTTGGTGTGAGTGCATATCATAGTCTATAAGCTCCTCAAAAACACTTGTAGTCCAGCACCATACCAGAGACTTGGCTTTTTGCAAAACCAAATGGACAGCGTCTTTAGTGTATCCTTTTATACCTAAACGACACCGTTTCAACCCTAGTTTGAAAAAGGCGTCAGACACAAGTCGCTCTTAGATGCAAAGCTCTTTAACAACAGAACTCTGTAATAAATAAACAGATTTCGCTGGAGTTATTGCCTTCGTGTTAGATTGTCATCTTTGTCAGGATACCTCGATGACCTCCATGCTACCAGAGAAACTGGATTGCTTGCCCAGCTTCCCAAATTCCTCGCTGCTTTGTGTTGTGTTAATACCCTCTTCAAACTCCATCTGGCAGCTGCGGCGCTTGTACTTCATGTCCACTTGCGATACACTGCACACTACTGCTTTCCCATCCTCGAGCCAATTGTTTTGAAAGTCCAGCGGCTCCGGCGTTTTGTCCCTTTCTAGATTTACAGCTTAGTACATAGTGCTGCTGGATGCAGCTTGTCTATTTGTAGGTAGCCAGCCATTCTGAGCATGCTCAGTGCACAGTAGTAGGTCTGAGAGTGTCTCAGCTTTAACATACACTTCATATCTTCACTCTTTTATTACACTGTTGATAAACTATATAACACTGAATAGTGACATTACTGAATGCAACTGCCCTTATTTACTCAATTTATAGCTAAATAGAACATTGGGCAATGACAGAAAAATAAACGTCGCACAGCAATTACATCTTCTCAAAGTTGGGCATACATACAGTTCCCTCTCAGAAGTCACCGTTAAGTGCGACTGCCCTAATCTGCATCAAAACCAGCATAAACACACACATACACACACTCGTTTCATTCTTTCATGTTTAGTGTCTTTGTATAGTCATGCTAGAAGGATATCCTCCGTCGTGCTCCTTCATTTTGAGTGTACTATAAGATGGCATGCCAGAAAAAGGTCACTCTCTGAGGTCTTTGGTGTGAGTGCATATCATAGTCTATAAGCTCCTCAAAAACACTTGTAGTCCAGCACCATACCAGAGACTTGGCTTTTTGCAAAACCAAATGGACAGCGTCTTTAGTGTATCCTTTTATACCTAAACGACACCGTTTCAACCCTAGTTTGAAAAAGGCGTCAGACACAAGTCGCTCTTAGATGCAAAGCTCTTTAACAACAGAACAGAACTGTGATAAATAAACAGCTTTCACTGGAGTTGGATTGTCATCTTTGTCAGGATACCTCGATGACCTCCATGCTACCAGAGAAACTGGATTGCTTGCCCAGCTTCCCAAATTCCTCGCTGCTTTGCGTTGTGTTAATACCCTCTTCGAACTCCATCTGGCAGCTGCGGCGCTTGTACTTCGTGTCCACTTGCGATACGCTGCACACTACTGCTTTCCCGTCCTCGAGCCAGCTGTGTCTTTGAAAGTCCAGCGGCTCCGGCGTTTTGTCCCTGGGCTTGGAGTTGCCAGCTTGGCCACTGCAACTGTAAGCCGCGCAGGCAGGACCGCTGCCAAAGTGCACAGTGCTCCCTGTTCCAGATGGTGCCAAATTAGTGCCTAAGAACCAATGGCAGTCACCCGTGGGTGTGATTGGGGTGGTGGCTTCATTCGAGCCTCTATGTATGGTCCAAGAAGCAGATGTACCCAGCGGCAAGCTGAGGAAAGAAGGCGCCTTCAAGTTGGTCTCGCAAATGGGATCCTGGGGTCTTGGCCCGCAGTTACCATGCTTCAGTTTGAGGGAAAGAGTTAACCTCTCCGAGCCACCGCTTTCCCACCTCTCGCTTTGTTGGCTCGTCCTGGACTTGCTAGTCACAGCAGTACACTGTAACTCCGTAGGGCTTGGGTGGCTCCTCGTTGAAGGGTGCTGGCATACTCCATTGCTGTTCTTTAGACTGTCAAACCTGCAGAGTTTGGGCAGGTTTTCCGAGTCCGATGAGGAGTTGGGAGAAGATTGCTGGTTTTGGTTCGAGGAGTAGACAGACTTGATGTCAAGGGAGAAGGAGCACTTGAGCCGTTTGTTTTGAAGGATTCGTTCGGTGGACAGGTGAAGGGAGCTTAGGTCTTTCCGCAGCGAGGTAGGTGATGGAGGCTTTAGGGCGATCTCTGCAGCTTGTAAAGTCCGCTGGTCGCAGCGATCGCTCTCCATCTTTCGGACCTCTGCCACCTCTTCAGTCGGCTTCCCTGCTAACCTTATAGGGTCACAGGGTAGACTCCTCTTCATCTGCAAGCCTCTCTCGAACTCCAGCAGCTGACCCAAGAAGTTGAAGTTCGGAGATATTGATGGCCGACGGTCCTTCACAAACCTACAGGAACGTCAGATATGAACAAATTCAATTGGATACCAAAATTCAACTGGTTTTCTGTTTTTAGCCAAGTTTAGAGACATTTATGCAATTGCTGGTCTGATCTTGATCTAGCTGGTGGACTGGCACAGACAGACAACTATGCTGGTAAACCAACAGAGGTTTGCTGATTAAGCTTGTTAAGAATATCTCAAGGTTGGGACTACAATCCAAAACACAACAGCTAGACACCATATTTTATTTGACACAAACAATATTGTGGTTTGGATGACCCTGTTGAAAAAAAAAAACAGTATATGCTGGTTAGGTATGTTTTGAAGCATGGCAACTGGTTATGAGCTGGTCCTGAGCAGGAGCTATCTGCTTAGGACCAGCTTAAACCAGCTCAGGACCAGCTTATAAAGCATACCTAAACAAACCTAACCAGCATATGCTGTTTTTTTTCAACTGGGGATGGTCCCCATCATGAGATGCTGATGTTCCTACCAGACTTCGTGACTAGATTAATCAGCATTTTTGGTTGGTGAACAATATGTGACCCTGGAGCACAAAAGCAGTCATAAGCAGCACAGGTATATTTGTAGCAATAGCCAACAATACATTTTATGGGTCAAAATTATCGATTTTTCTTTTATGCCAAAAATTAAAAGGATATTAAGTAAAGATCATGTTCCATGAATATATTTTGTAAATTTCCTACCGTAAATATAACAAAACTTAATTTTTGATTAGTAATATGCATTGCTAAGAACTTCATTTGGACAACTTTAAAGGTGATTTTCTCAATATTTTGATTTTTTTGCACCCTCAGATTCTAGATTTTCAAATAGTTGTATCTCGACCAAATATTGTCCTATCCTAACAAACCATACATTAATGGAAAGCTAATTTATTCAGCCTTCAGATGATGCATAAATCTGCAAAAAATGCCCCTAATGACTGGTTTTGTCACATATGACTATGTTGTTCCACCAACTAGACAAACTTAGACCTTAGTCTAGGCTTGGTCTGGCATTCCATAGAGCATCTGAACATCCAAAGAGCTGCAGTTACCTGTAAGCATCATCTGAAGACAGGCCCATAGTTTTCATGATGTAGGCAATGGCAATGGTTGCAGAGCGGGATATGCCAGCCAAGCAATGGACGATGACTCTACAGTTTGACACCTTGGCTTTGTCTGTGGATAGAGAGAAACAGCAAACCGGTCAAAAGCAGTTCCACTGTTAAACTGCACACAAAGCATGAGGTCATCTCACTCGCCAACCTCGAACGGTGACATCACTCATACCTCCCTCAAATGCTGATGCACAGATGGCTAGAGTTAACCAAGCCCCTAACCTTAGAGTTCTCTAACGTCTTACAAGCTTGCTTCTAGAATACCCCACTGTCCATTCAGCAAACCACAAAGTCTGACGTTCTTACCAATGAACTCGTTGGTTTTTTCCAACCATGGAAGCAGCTTCTCGCAGTAGCTGTCGTTGACGGGAATGCGCATGAAGTGTCTGTCGCTGATGAAGTCAGGTTTGGGGCAAGTGTTGCTGGCATTTAGAACGTAGGTGATTCCATTCTGAGTCATCAGTTCCTGTTAAAAGATGGAAGTTTTGAAGAAGTTCATACAAACGGACCAAAGAATTCCGACAAAGATAGAACTATGGGGGGGGAATTCAACATTTTCCTTGAGCAGATTCCGGCTGTATCAGTGAGTCTGCCACGCATGCTAAAGCTATTGTAAATGAGAAATATGTAGAAAGATAATCTGTCAAAAAAAAAAAACATGTTTTGGTGGTGAGTTTCATGTCAACTTGACAGGGCTAACATTTAAATCAACCCAACATCAATGAAAGTATTTTCCCGGAATACAGCTGCCTGTTATCTAAGTAAGTGATGAGATACACTGCAATTCAGTTGTTCCAAGGTATGCGCAAACACCCTCCAGGTAAAAGAAAACTATTCCTTGTTATCTGATCATGCCTCATGAATTTGTTGTCTTCACCACAGGAATTACTGAGCGCTAGAATCTGAAAGCATTTCCTTGATATGACGATATTAAAGGGGTCTGTATGCAATAGTTATACAACTTATTTTTTTAACATTTTATTTTAACTCTTGAGGTCCACCAACCTTATTGAGGACGTCTCTCTGGGAGCCCAAGTACAGGTGGGGCAGAATGCGGGTGGGACCGACGTTGGCCACAGGTAAACAGGGTTGGGACAGACTGAGAGGTTGAAGAGTGGCTGGTTTACTCTCACACAGGTCAGGAAAACAGGACGAGAAAGCTGCAAAGCCACCTGAAAGAGTACAGAGAAGAAGAGAACTGTTTTAGGATGAAGTTATTCGGATATGATTCAGCTTACCACACATCGAGACCATAAAATATTGTGTGTACGTACATTGTTCTCACACACACACATTTTGCTGCAAACTCAATTACTTACAGTATAAGAATGGAATAATAGTAACAATGAAGGGGGTTTCCAAACATCCTAACCGACTGAATTACACATGAACCCCAAACACAAACTCCACAAGGGCCAAGAAGTCTTTCCGCCACAGCAGAAACATCCTGTCGTTTCAATTCTTGCACTAGAATACCCAGCACACGTAGTGTACAGTGGATGACCCTCCGCCAGGATGAAGACATCTGTTGTGGTATTGTTTTTACACTCTCTGAACCCATGTTTGCTTTTTCACTCAAGCAAGCCAGTTTGCAGTGTTGGGGAGTCACTATAGTTACATGTACGGAATTACGGAATTTAATTACAAAATTTAAGTAATTTAATTAAAAAAAAAAAAAGTGTAATTAAATTAGTTACTTATGAAAATGTTAACGATTACAAAGGGGGTTGCATGTGAATATTTTCACACGCATAACGATTTGATTGATTTCTTTCCCAAATTGCATTGACTGCTTTAAAATTTTAGACACCAATGTTTCAGGAGTTTAGGACACAGAATAGGACACATGCTCAGTTGATAACTCATTTTATTTCCTACTTTGGTCTATGTATATGCTTTTTTTAAGATTAACTGTTTTATTTTTATTTTTTGTTAACTACTTTTTATTGATTGATTTATTTTTATTTTTTTAAGGAAAAGTAATGTAAAAAAAAGCATCTGTGCAAATTTAGAACCCACCCCAACCCAGGTAGACTCCAAAAAATAATATGTAATGTAGATCTTAAAAACCAAGGCATTGCTATGCCAGTGTTTCCTTTATGCAAGGATTTGATTTAAAAAACAACATCATAACTATAAAACTGTTTTTTATGATTTTAAATCTGTATTTAACCTCAGAATGATCTCAAAGTAAAAAGGTCTGATTTTGTGGTGGCTGTGCTTTAAAATTAAATTATCATAATCTCAATTCAAGTGAAGAAGGATTTTGAAAATCTGACCGCATCAGTCTGTAAGGTTAACCCTGCCTGCTTTAAATGCTTGAAAATGATTAACAGTTGAAACATCCTTTAGAAATGTATAAAAGTAATCAAAATGTAATCAGTTAGATTACTTTAATAAAATAATTGAAATAGTTACACTACTTTTACATTTTAAGCAGGGTAAACCTATTACATTTCCAAACTAACACTATAGCTTTAGCTGGCGCATCGGTCGACACTACTGCCGGGTTGCAAGAGTGGCTAAGCTCCTCTCTGAAAAGGAAATGAGAAAAGCAATGGGCTGCATGGTGAAAGCCGAGGCAGATAGGGTGTCAGTGTCTGGTTCTTCCTGCATGATCTCATCTCCTCTCCCTGTGTCCAGCATCACACAGCGGGAATGAAGCAGGCCACAGGAACACTGACACCCAACCAGAGCTCAGAGGAAGCACACACACACACACACACACACACGCACACACACACACACACACACACACACACTTTCATTGTAAATGATTCCAGTCTAAAGGCCCGCTCACACCAAGGACGATGAATATAATGATATAAATAAGACATAGTTTTAAAGAATAGTGAGTCTGCTGTATAACGATAACGGCACAGAGGAATGATATTGTTAAAGCCACTTTCTGAAAGATTTTATGAACAATAAAAACATTGACAACCAATCAGAAACCATCCGGATTTAAAGAGCTCAAGCTAATGTTATTTATAAAGAATTACACTCATATTTTGTAGTTCAAAGGGTTTTCTTTACAATGAAACCATTTGTTTTCATTTCCTCCATTGTATGTGTGTAGGGTAAACATTTGAATTTGAGTATGTCAAATTTAGGCGAAAATACCAAAAACGCCCCAGAGAATAAGTTTAAAGCAGCAGACGACAAAACTGCTGCTTAAGCTTGTAATCAAAAGAACGTTATCGTGCATCGCTGTGGACACTGATATAGTTGTGTTCTTGGTGCGAACGGGACTTTAGTCTTAGTCTAATAGAGAATTTTAAACGTTTTATTGCTAAGGAACCCTAAAAAGCAATGTTATGGAGTTTTGGATGTTATATGTCATTGTGCTAAAATTACTAATAAAAAACTGCTAAAAAACAAATGATTAAAATGTCATAAATCATTTAAATATCAAATATACATTTTTGTATAACACTTTCAAATATATTTTACACAATAAATATAATTCCAAAGCACATTGACAGAAATGTTTACTCTATAAAATGACTCGTATATAAAAACTCATGTCATATACGTAGTTAAAATTGTTTGCATAAAAGTTTAAAATACATTTGTGACCTGCTTAACACTCGCCCACACATGCACTGGCCTCAATATTATTTATGTATTTGTTTGTTTGCTTGTTTTTTGGACCATGTATGATATTTTAACATAACTATTTTCTATGCAATGCATTGCACCAGATTTAGCCAATGGCTTATTTCCATCTGCAATTATTTTGCGATCCCTAATGAAGCCTCTTTTAGCCCTTTATTTGGTGACCTCAAACCTAAAACAGCACTATGCTTGTGTTATTCCTTTAAACAACTGAAATAAAGACAAAAAAAGGAACTGCTGATTTGGAATCAGTCCTCGCTCATGTAGATGGGGCAATGACATCACGCTGAATTAGTGTTTGAGTTTGCATGGGTCGTCTGTCTGAGACATACAGGCACATGCAAATCAAGCTGGGAGAATCACTGTTACGAAACAGGGAGAGATTGAGAAACAAAATAGCGACAGAAGACGTGAAACATTTAAATACAGGCAATAAAAGCAGATGAGCTCATCGGCATGAAGTAAGAGTCTGTGAGCAGATGCATGTGACTGGAGAAGGCAATTATTCATCCATCAATCCATTCGTTTCATCCGATTCAACATTTACTGACCCATTTCACAGCAGAGAAAGAGTTCTGGACCTTTCAATGTAATGTTCACATGACATCACTCAGCAAGGCCATTCGATATGCTATGCGAGTCGAACCAAACAGACCTGTTTAGAAGACCTTTTCACGTGAGTCACAAATTACATCATGACCCGCTCTTGTCACGGAAAGAAGTGTCAGTGTTACTCGATTCACACACTGACTTCACGCCATGCAAGCTACCAGGAAGCTGTTTCAAACCACTCACTCGGTCAGTTTTGACTTTATAAAAGCGCAAGCTGAATATTCAAATCTGCAGCGCCTGGCCCTTTAAGGCCCAGCGCAAGGGCTGCCTGTTTCCAGCTATTAAAAGCAGCCGCCGAGCAGCATGGCATCATCGCTCAACACGCGGGTGGCCAGAAGTTTTGACTAGCACCTCGATGCTCCGACACGAGGTTTTAACATCCCACGACTGAGTAGCCTGCTTTATGACATCACAAGCCAAAGTGAAATCAGTTTCCAGGCCGTGCACAAAAAGAAAAGCATGTGGAAGGACAGAGAAATAGACATTGCCTTGACTGAATTAGTGCAGACCTGGCTGGCTGACATTCCACAGGCGTGATGTGTCCTAAGCCAATCCACTCTGAGGGTTGCATGACATGCGGCTCGCCGAGATAAAAATGACTACATTATTGATTTTAGTGTAGGATTAACACACATTCTGTGTTGCAAGCAACCATCTTGTTTTGTATGAATTGCAAAACTGCCAGAAAGTGCTTGCATTGAAGATTCTGATGAGTGTAAATGCAATACATGCACGGTCACATAAATATATATATTAGTGCTGTCAAGCGATTAATCGCATGCAAAATAAAAGTTTTTGTTTGCATAATATATATGTGTGTGCTGTGTATATGTATTATGTATATATAAATACACATACATACAGTATATATATATATATTGAAAATATTTACATGTATTTACATGTCTATACTTATATTCATATAATTTATATGATAAATAAATATATTTAATAACATTTTTCTAAAATATATACATGCATGTGTGTGTATTTATATACATAATAAATACACATGGTACACACACATATTATGCAAACAAAAACTTTTATTTTGTATGCGATTAATCGTTTGACAGCACTAATATATATATATATATATACACACACACACACACACATACAATATATACAATGTGTATATACAATTATACTAAAAAATAAAATTGGTACACACACATATTATGCAAACAAAAACTTTTATTTTGTATGCGATTAATCGTTTGACAGCACTAATATATATATATATATACACACACACACACACACATACATACAATATATACAATGTGTATATACAATTATACTAAAAAATAAAATAATATTTTAAAAATGTATATTTAAATTATCTTGTTTTTTTCATTCACCTTCAGTTTCCTCACAGTGAATAAAGCAGTATATATATATATATATTTTTTTTTTTTTTTTTTTTT